TCATCCACCACTCCCAGCAGGTCAGTGGCAGAGCTGGGAAGAGAATTAAGGTTTCCTGAGTGCCAGTCCCCAGTATCTATCCCCCTAAGACAAAAACAGGGCAAATTGCAGCCACTATGTACTGTGCAACAGCAGGTGAATACTTTTTCCAGAGCTGTGTCTTCACACTGATTTCAATGCATACAAATAAAAAGGAAGTAAACAAGAATACATGATACATTCAAGCTCCAGTTAAAACAGCAGCATTTTACTCTAGAGGAGTGTGTCACATATACTGTGGTAAATATAGGATACTAATTATAGTAGGTGCTTTTTGGCCAATTTAAAGGCCCCATAATATTCGGTCCTGACACCAGCAATTTCCTAGGATTTGCTATAGTGGGGACATACCTATAACTTTACACTTTTCATTATTTTAAGTATCTCTGTTATGTCCCCTCTCACCATCCAGCTAATCTAAGCAATATTAATGTCTTCAATTTCTCCTCATCTGGAAGTACTTCTCTGCCTCTAATTACTTTTGCTGTTTTCTATTTTTGGAGGTGATGAGATCAGAACATAATGCAGTTAGAAAGCAGAGGGTCAACCATCAATGTATATCATTTCAGTTTTTATTTTACATCTTCCAGTTTTATTAAATATTAAAAAATTAAATATTATAAAAATATTAAAAACATTAAATATTATAAAACAGTCCATTTGATAAATATGCACATAAATAAGTGATAGATACAATAAATAACTTAAATAAAAATCAGATTTGCTTAAATAAGGATCGAATCAGGTGCCTTAACATTATGTCAGCCAGTGAAACAAAAATAGATTCTCGGAATCTGTCTAATACAGCAACACCTTCCATGCATCAAAATTATTGCATTTTCCAGCATCTTTCTAAGACACTAATGAAATACTGTGAAAAAACTAGTTCTTTAAATTAAAATAAGTAACGGCTACACTTAACATACCATTGGTAAATATTTGTGTGTGGCAATAAACCAATACAATAAATAATATCCTCTAGGGCTAAATTTTAATCCCGCTGCAATCAGTGGCCAATCTCCCATTGATTTCAGGAGGAACAGGCCCTACACTTTAGCTGCAGTTAAGGAATTGGCCTACAACCAATCAGCTACTGGCAACTGGAGTTGGAGAGGTCTGTTCGTGAAGATCAGTTGTATGTGAATCTTTTGTTCAGAGATCATGGGTGATGGGTATCCATGGTAAAATGCCAAGGAGGAAAGAGCATCACGCCTGGTTAAAATACAGTGTCCTGTAGGAAGGATTCAGGGTTCCCATTCGCTGGGCTCTCCAGTGTCTGATTAGACGCATGAGGTGAGACAGTAAAGATCTGGCGTTTAGGTGCAAGACTCCATGTAGGCTGCACACTTCAAGTCTTGGTTCAGCAGTCGGAAGAGATTGAAGACCATAGATGCTTCCAGGCACCCCAGAGTTTCCTGGGACAGGAGAGAGGGAGTGAACACATTTGTAACAGAGAATGGCTGGCTAGCAATGGGCCAGCTAAAGCTACCGTGGGCCTGATGGAGGCGGGAGGTGCAAATAAATAGGGACAACAGTGCATGCAGAAAAAGGGTGAACAGAGCAGTGTCTACACAGGGACATCCAGGAAAGATATTCTGAATTAACTGTGTGAATTTGAAGTGAGTTAGTTAAATGGCATTAAATTCCTGTGTAAACACCCTCATTCAAAATTTAAGTGGTCTTAATTTGGTTACTTTACTTCACTTCCAGAATTCACTTTAACTTTGAATAACAGCATCCATACAGGGATTTAATTCAGTTTAACTAATCCACTTCAAACTCACACCTCTAATTAATTCAGATTCATCTTCCTGGATGTCTCCGTGTAGACAAGACCTTACAAACACTCTAACCTAAGGAAATACTCATGTACACCATGCTCTAACGTGCTGTACTTCTAAGTATATAACAACGTGTGCTGTAGTCTGTTACATGAACCAGTGAGTTTGAATGAAGCAAAGGGCACAATGATCTGGGGTAATAGTAAATTTGAAGGGTATTATCTTTGGCTATATCTGAGTCTTAAGAAGGCCTGGCATTGGCAGATCTGTCCGAATGAATTATCTCTGGGCCTGTTTTCCCATTGCCCAGCCCAGCATCTACACCTCTTCAAAGCAAATAGCAAGTTGGTGTAAAGCTCTGCCAACAGTGTGAGGAAGGGGGGATTTCAGATTCAGCAGCATTTTGCACAAATATAAATGACTACACCAGGTATAAAGTGCAAAGCAATGGAGGATCAGATGCTACGTGAAATTCTGCTATTTGCATCCTATGGAAGGACCCAAACAAGGCCACAAGGTAAAGGCTGTTTTCTGGATGCCTGGTCCGCTACAGTCTG